CTCAATAAAAGACACAGAATGATAATTTGATTTACCAAAACCTTTCCTTTTACCAATAAATTGTCTCTATTTTGACGATTACTTGAATCAGCTTTCATCTCCAGAGCCTTATTTCTTAAAGAATTTATTATCACATCAGCAGTAAATTCTTCCCTACCATGCTCTAGAGCAACTTTGATGTCTTTATATCTGTCACTAATGGAGTTTAACAAGACAACAGCCATCTTATTTTGAAAAAATTTCATCACAGTTGGCCAAATCTTAGGTAAGTTTTGTAAATCTGTTTGGTAGGCCAAATCTTGGGTAAGATATATCACTGGAATTGTTGATACCATTGTAAGGCCACTATAAATCTGTTTTGGAAATAGTATCAGCCAATGGTACAGCTCTGATACCACTGTAAGGCCAAGAACACATAGTATTAAATCGAGAAATAGAAATGCAATGATCTTCTCAGAAAATTAAACAAACCACAAGCGATTTCTTTATGCCTAAACTCGGAGGTTCGACGACTACTTCTAACGCCTACATCCCTCGTTTAGCATCCTATATATTGGATTTGTGCTCGGTTCCACTATACAACCCAAAATGACAACAAATGTTACACAATGTTCGGCCAAATCACTGAATACAGAAAAAAAAACACTTATCTCTCTATATACAACAGTCGATCCACGAGATTCACTAAGAATCTCTTCAAAACCTCAGAAACGGCAACATGAAAGAACACGGACTTTCTCATGGATATTCACTCAGAATATCACTATTACAAAGATTAACTATTACAGATCAACAATCTCGAATCAGTAATTTGAGAAGAAACTGAAAATAGAACCAAAACCAGAAAGTTCTTTTCAAAACGGCGTAACCCAGAAAGAGAAGTAATGAAACCCTATCAGATGAAAAATGTCAAATGAAATGGCATTAAAGAATAGAAGTCTCCAGAACCTAATCCAACGGTGCAGAACGAAACATGTGTCGCAATCCGATTAAATGTGCATTTTAATAAAGTTGTAACACCAAAAACACTATTTTACAAATTATGGGAGCACCATTCGAACTGGGTTTGAATTCCAAACCAGGTAATATAGAGCATTTCATAGGCAATTTTACGCATCTATAAAATTCTTATTCTAATTTCTCTATTTTTTTAACAAATAAATATCTCTTTCGTGTAAAAATTTCGCTTCAATATTTGCGTAAAGGGTTTTGTAGTAAAGGTAGAAATTATGTTGGTTGGTTCCTATCATATTGGAGTGTTGATTCCACATGAACAAAATATGTTCTATCATAAGCGATAGTTTTTTTGGTCTCAAGTAAAGATGGTGAA